AACTAACCCACTTCCCAAACGGAGACTTAGGATTCTGAACTAAAAAAACATAAAATAGAGATTAGAAAACAACATTTTTTATGTTTCTTGAAATTGATTCTTTTTAATTGAATTTTATTTTTTATTTTTTGAAAATTATTTCCTTAAAACACAAATCTAATAAATATTTAATTGTTAGGGGCGAAGCCACCGGCAGTAATCCACTTAAACTTTTTTTTATTTTTATTTTTATACTTTTTTCAGTAGTGATACATCTCCTTGATATAATATTTTCATTTTGACCTCTAATGAGATGGAAGCGAGAGAAAAAATAGAAAAAAATAGAGAGAGGAGTATGGGTCCTCCCTTCACATAGGGGGTGGATTAAGATACTCAATTAGAGCTCCTAAGCATTTTTTTTTCTCGTGCTATTAAATTTATTAGGTAAATTACATTTTGTCCCCTTTATATTTGTCTTTTTTTACTTTGATCCTTAATTTTTTTTTTTGGGGACAAATTACAAATAGATGGAATAGTCATAACATAATTACACTACAGACAAGAATATTTTTAGGTTCAACTTTGACTAATAAGAAAGACTTGCACCACTATGAAAATGTAATTATTTATATACAGCTTCACTGAAATACAATTTTTTTTTTCACTTTCACTTTTCACTTTTCACGTTCTAAATTTTTTTCAATTTACTTCTAAAACTAGTTTATGTTCAAAATTAGACCAAGGCTTCGTAAAACTAGTTTATGTTCAGAATTAGACTAGTCCCATTTGGGAAGATGGTTTTGGCTATTTTAGCCATAAAAGACAAAATAGGCTATTTTAGCCACAACAAACAAAACATCACATCCAACCCATAATCATTACACTCTTCTCTCACAAAAAAAGTCAAAAAAGTCAAAAAGTCATTCCCAAACCAAGTTTTTTAGCCCAGGTTAAAATAGCAAAAAAAGTCAAAAAGCCAACCCACTTCCCAAATGACACCTAAGGCTTCGTTTGGCAATATACTTTTTGACTAAATTAGCCACAAAAAGATAAAATAGGCTAAAAATTAATAAGACAAAATATCACATTCAAACGATAATCATATCACTTTTTTTCTCACAAAAGTCAAAAAAACTAACCCAAACAAACTTTTAGTTCAAAGCTAAAATAGTTAAAAAGTTAACTAAAAAAATCTATTGCCAAACTACAACTGAAAAAGTCATGTTTGTTGCCACATGACATAAAAAATATATATTATTTTATTAAGATTTGAATTTATGTTAGAAGTGTGAGTTATACATAATAACAAAAAATTATATCACATGACTGTTAATGTGTCATTTTCTTTTTAATTTTAGACATTCGTTAGTTTTTGAAGTAGGGTTTGTTGGCTATTTTAGCCATAAAAGACAAAATAGGCTATTTTAGCCACAACAAACAAAACATCACATCCAACCCATAATCATTACATTATTCTCTCACAAAAAAAGTCAAAAAAGTCAAAAAGTCATTCCCAAACCAAGTTTTTTAGCCCAGGTTAAAATAGCAAAAAAGTCAAAAAGCCAAACCACTTCCCAAATGACACCTAAGGCTTCGTTTGGCAATATACTTTTTGACTAAATTAGCCACAAAAAGATAAAATAGGCTAAAAATTAATAAGACAAAATATCACATTCAAACGATAATCATATCACTTTTTTTCTCACAAAAGTCAAAAAAACTAACCCAAACAAACTTTTAGTTCAAAGCTAAAATAGTTAAAAAGTCAACTAAAAAAATCTATTGCCAAACTACAACTGAAAAAGTCATGTTTGTTGCCACATGACATAAAAAATATATATTATTTTATTAAGATTTGAATTTATGTTAGAAGTGTGAGTTATACATAATAACAAAAAATTATATCACATGACTGTTAATGTGTCATTTTCTTTTTAATTTTAGACATTCGTTAGTTTTTGAAGTAGGGTTTGGCTTCTCTCCAGTCTGTGATCGAACGGTTGTGCTCGTGGAGGCCCACTATAGGTCCCGTTTTAATAATCTGAATCATTCAATGTGTAAAACTCGTCGAGTACTATATATGTGTAAACATACGTGTAAACAATCACGTTGATTGGATATCGATAGCTATGTGATCAAATCAGTTTTGTATAAAAAAAAATGTACAGTGAAAAAATAAACGATTGACAAAAATCTGATCCGATGAAATAACTATCGATATTCGATCAACGCGATTTTTTATAAGTATATAGTACTCGACAAGTCCTACACATTAAACGGTTCAAATTATGGAAACGACACCTGTAGTAGGCCCTACAGGTCCAACAACGCCCTCTAGTCTGATCATGGACTGGAGGAAAGCTAATCCTTTTAAAGTAAATTGAAAAAAAAAAATATTTTGAAAGATGAAGGGTCAAAATGGGGAGGAAAAAAAAATTAAAATCAAAGTAGAAAATATAGGGGGAGCAAAGTATAATTTACACAAATTTATGAGATGGGCCGATATTTATTGAGCATTGAAATTAAAACAGCTAAGGCTGAAGTTTCAAGCCCTTCTCAGTTCAGTCCAAATTGATCCACGTAAGTGTTAGTAAGTCAAGTTTCAGTCCATTTTACAAGCAATAACATATGGGCCGAAGTCATACATTTTCTCTTCAAACCCCATTGGGCTTGTGACTAACGGGCTCTGATTGGGCTATCCAACCTCTTTAATACAATGTGACCAAGTTGGGCGGGGTTTGAAAATGGACTTGCACTGAATCATTTCGAACTTCCATCAACTTAGTGGTTGTTTGAGATATTCTAAATAAGTGCACTTTTTAACTTTTTATGAAATATAGGTTGGATTTAAAGTGATGTGGTAAAGATGTGATATGACTTAAATAGGATAGTGACTTTTTAATTTTTAACTTTTTTTGAACATCCCAAACTTAGCCTTAATCCAAACTCCATTTATTTAAGTGATTAAAATTGTTTATTTTGTAAAGTTGGTTAAAAAATTATCTATGTAAAAAGTTAACTAGATATTGGTAATTATATGATCAGATATTAATAACTATTTATTTATTTAAAGACAAATGTGGATTGATATTTAATTTTTTAGTTGAATGATTTTATCAACTAACTTTATAAAATGAACAATTTCAAACATAATGAATGGTGACCACACCTCCTAGAAAAAAAGATGAGTGTAGAAATATTTTTTGGTTGTTTAAAAGTCCTAATATGTAATATCTAGTCTTAAAAAAAATTTAAAAATAAAATATAAAGAATCTTTGTATATGTGACTTACATATATATAAGCCTGGTGAAAAAGATAGATGGCATCATTAAAAAAAAATAATAAAAGGAAAAATTAATTGAGGAAAAATGTTAGAGATCTCAAAATTTCTATTAATTTTTTTTTATCAAACACTCACTTAGTGTGGGTCTTACATCCATATGAGTGTTTTGTAGATTTTTTTTTATATTTCTAGTATACGGGAAAGAAATAAACCTTCTCGTATAATCCTGTTGATCAAGTCTGCGCTCCTCCGTACGACGTCGCTTTACTTCCTGAAAACACAAACGTGGGCTAGCCGGCGGGTGTGTGCCGGATACCTCTCCGATGCCTAAGTTAGCAAAATAGACAAATAGACAAAAGCTCTGTGTATTCGAGAATCAAAGTTGTGTTATCTCTCCATAGGTGATGTTGTGAGCTTTTATAGGTTCCGTGTGGCACAATCCTAGTAAGACTCTTACTCCTCCATGTAGAGTCCTCCTAGGAATCACATTCCTGAAAGATAATGCTTATCTTTCAACATTCTCTCACTGCTTAAACCAAGTGAGATGGTTTTACCTCGGTTGGATGTCAATACGATCGAGATAACATGGCCATGCTAAAGATGCAGATTGGTCCGAGCTCCACCTAGCACGGTTCTTCCTTTCACTGCGTGTACCTCGGTTTAACATGTTCCAACCAGGCTGTTGAGATCATGCTTAACCACACCGAGCTAGGATCGAACTAATCCATAGCATGGTTCTGAGAAAAGCTCAACATACTGGCTCTATATGGTTTGACCGAACTAACTGTTACCGCGCTGACCGTGGCAACCGAGCTAATCCCAAAGCTCTTTCGGACCGGGCTATCTGCAAGGCTCTTCTGGACTGGACTAATTTACAAGGCCCTTTTACTCAGTCCTTCTTACCGTGACCCACAGAATGGCCCATTACCCAGCTCGGTCTAATTTATATATAAATTACCCTCTCATCTAGCATTGCTCTAATAATAATTTTGTCCATTGGTTGGTGAACAAAATAAAACTCTAACGGGTGGCTTAATAAAGAAATAATATTGGACAAATCTTTAATAGAATATCTAATTCAAAACTAATAAATATTAGGTGGAGAGGCTCAAATTATATTAATTAATTTTGGATGGCTTAGAAAGATAATGTGGAATAAGTTTCTAGCACTTGCTTGCACAAAGAGATGAGATACGAGAGAAATGAACTAAGGTGGAGATTTGATTCACAAAACACCATATAAAATGTAGTTTTCATACCAATTATTAAGAGCATTCAACTAAAAACTAATTAAATTAGGTGGAGAGCTCCTTACATCATGATTAAACAAGTTGAATTCTTTACATTGTATTTGAATTATAAATTTAAATAAAAATTTTAAAATATAATAATTTATATTTTATTCATATTATTCTTATTATTTCTCTTTTTATTGTTGTTTTAAAAGACAATAATATAAGACAAATCTATAACAAAGTCTTTTTAATAGAAGTGATGTGAGCACTAAGAATATTTGGCACCAATTCTCAACATATGTATATCACATGATACCACAAAATCTCAACTTATGTTAAAATCCCTACAATTTCATTTTTGACTTTATCCGCATAAATCTTAAGCCGCCTCACTTATTTTATAAAGCTTGTTCCATTATTAATAATAACAATACTTGTCAAGTTATTTATTTACATAAAGCCAAAAGCCGCCCACCCCCTATATAAACCTCACTACCTCCTAGTACCAAAAATAAACTCAAAAACACATCATAACTTCATATTATTATCATTCCACCAACATGGGCTACTTAGCAAATGCCCTTCCTTTCCTTCTCCTCTTGAGCCTCTTCATCACCACTGATGCAGCTGTCTTCACAATCAGCAACAACTGCCCCTACACGGTCTGGGCAGCTGCCACACCAGGTGGCGGTGTCCAACTTGACCCCGGCCAAGCATGGACCATAAACGTGGCTCCAGGCACAGCCATGGCCCGCATTTGGGGTAGGACCAATTGCAACTTCGATGGTAGCGGTAGCGGTAGTTGCGAAACCGGTGACTGTGGTGGTGTCCTCCAATGCACCGGTTGGGGAGTCCCACCCAACACTCTAGCCGAATATGCCCTAAATCAATTTGATAACCTAGATTTCTTCGACATCTCTCTAGTTGATGGATTTAATATTCCTATCCAGTTTAGTCCTACCAGGGACCCTATTGATCAATGCCATCCGATTTCATGCACGGCCGACATTAACGGGCAATGCCCGGATGTGTTGAGAGCCCCGGGTGGGTGCAATAATCCTTGCACAGTTTTCCAGACACCGGAATATTGTTGTACCAATGGGCCGTGTGAGCCAACAAATTATTCAATATTTTTCAAGAACAACTGTCCAGACGCATATAGTTATCCTGACGATAATGCATCAAGCACATTTACTTGCCCCGGTGGGACTACTGACTATGATGTTGTGTTTTGCCCATTAGGTTCTCCACATTTCTCTTTGGCAATGAATGGAAATAGTAATAATGTAGAGTGAGAGACTCAAGAGTTCAAACTAGGTAAAATAAATGTGTGTATGAACCTCTAATTTAATAATAACTAGAGAGAGAAAGACTCTAGTTGTGTACTGGTGTATGGTTTACTTGTTTGAAAATTATTATTAAGAAATTAATAGAATTAAATGTTATCTTATCATATATTAAACGATGAAAAAGACAGATGATATATAATAGTTATCGGCATAAAAATACATTATTTGCACATTATTTTGATGAGTTTTTTTTCTTTTTTATTATTTTTATTTTTTTTATTTATGCGTTGGTACAATGAATTCAATCACTTTGAAATATCAAAAGACCAAAAACAAAAAATAAAAAATTATCCTAACACAATACAGTCCCGTTTTGTAGCTCGAATTTCATTTGGCTCGAGTGGCCTGACTGCCTAAAACGACGTCGTTTTTTATTTTTTATTTTTTTAAAGAAGAAGAAGACGGAGGAGGAGGAGGAGAAGAAGAGAAGAGAAGAGGGAGCTGAGAGCATATCATCATCATCATCATCAACATATCATCATCAACAACAACAACAACAAATAGAACAGAGAGAGAGAGACAAATAGATCTATACACATCATCATTAACACAGAGAGAAAAAGAGATAGATCTATACACACACAGAGAACAGAGAGAAAGAGAGAGATCTATGCACAGAGAGAGAGAGAGATTGATACACATACACACACAGAGAAATACATACACAGATCTGTTGATGATGGCGCCGGTGATGGTAGTGATGGCGTCTCGCCTTTTCTCTCTTCCTCTTCTTTTCTTCTCCTTCTCTCTTCCTCTTTTCTCCTTCTCTCTCTCTTTTTTGTCTCTCTGTATTCGGAAAGCAAGAAAAAGAAGGAAAAAAAAAGAAAAAAGAAAAGAAATCCAAAATGACATCGTTTTAGATTTCGAACCAATTCGAGCCACCGAATTTCGAACTACAAAGGATTATTCACATTCTAAGGGCTGGTTTGGGGTGTCCTAAAAAAGTGCACTTTTTATCTTTTTGGACTAAAAAAGTTGAGAAAAAAATATGAAGGTTCGGGTTAACTTTTTGACTTTTTATAGAAAAATGTGTATTAAAAAATTGTATAAAAAAAGTGTGTAAGAGATGATTAGAGAGGGGTGGGCCCCAGCCGTACAACCGGCTGAGTGAATTGGGATTGGAAATTATTGGCTAATTTTTGTACAAAGCACTGGACAGTTTTGTTTGGCCCGTGGGGGTCATCACGGGTCCCATTTTAATAATCTGAACCGTTCAATGTGTGTAACTCGTCAAACACTATGTACCTATAAAAAAATCACGTTTATCGGATATCGATAGCTATCTGATCAGATTTATTTATTTTTCAATCATTAATTATAACACCATCCATTTGTTGTACATAACTGATTTGATCATATAGTTATCGATATCCGATCAATGTGATTTTTTGCAAACATATAGTACTTGACGATTTCTACACATTAAACGGTTCAGATTATCAAAACGGGACCCGTGATGACCTCCATGGGATGAACAACGGTGTGTGTAAAAACCACACCCAATCATTTCTTTTTCCTCCACTGCCGCACACAACACTGCCGCACACATCAATTCGGTGAATAGTGATTTTGAAGAAAATTAATTTTTTAATTATTTTTTTTGGTGAATAGTGATATCTTTTTGGATTTTTTGGTGAATAGTGATATCTTTTTGAATTTTGAAGTAACTTTTTGACTTTTTGACTTATATAGGATAAGCCAAACCAGCCCTAAATATGTCAATTTTAATCTTGAGCAGTGACTATTTTTCCGTCTTTTTAGGCAATTATACTTATTTGTTGGAACAAAGATCTTCTAGAGTTTTTTTTTTTTTCTAAAATTTCTTAGAGTGGTGTGTTGTATGATTGAGATTTAATGACAAGTCACATCAATTTTTTAGCATTAAATCTCACCCATACAACACACCACTTTAGAAAACTTAAAAAAAAAAAAACTCTAAAAGATCCTTGGTGATTTGGTGACGAGTGACCAAACTTCTTGACAAAAGGTAAATGTAGATTTAAATTGAACACGGCATGTTTGAAGAAGACTTTGGCACAACAATTTCTTGCACACAAATTCAAGCAACTAAATAATTAGTTTATTGGCTTAAAATAAAGGGTTTAAGCTTGGGAGAATTATTTAGGCTTGTAAGTTAAATCAGGGTCCTATTTCAATAATATATATTATTTATTTTGTTAAATTTTTCATGTATATAATCAATGAAAAAAATTAAATTAAACCAATAATTATAAATATTTTTTTTATTGTATGTCTTCAAAATTTAGCTCGCCTATTTAAAAAAAAACCAACGGGTGAAGGACTCTCTTATGTTCTCATTTCAATTCATTTACAACTATTTAAGTATGTCTAAAATTATCATATTTTAAATTTTTCACACGATCTAATAATTGTAATTTTTTTTTAAATAATATAAATCAATAAACAAAGAGGTCATCTTCAGCCATGGAAACAAGGTCTTGCCAGATGGTAGCTAATTCTTCAACATTATTCGCACATTCAAAAGCATATCCGCTTGCATCAACCATCTCCTAATATCGAAAACGATAGAATAAACAAACAAAAGATGATAAGGGTTTTATGTTTATGAAATAACAAATAGGAAATATGAATGATGCTCTATTTAAGTCTCTTCCTTGACCCAAAGAGGGCAAAAAACAACAATAACAACAACAATAAAGTTGTGACATTGAATATATGCATTTTTGAATGTCAATAATTTACAGTCTAATAAACTTAAATAAATCTTATTGCCAAATGGTATGATCTAAGCTATGTCCACTTCGTCACGATATCGACTTTCCTTAAAATAAGTTTTGTTAAGAGAATAAGAGTGCATTGTGAGCAAGCCCTAAGAAAAGTCAAAAGGGTGTGTAGTATATCAGTTGCTCCTCCCCCATAAGCGAAGGCGAGCGAGTAAAAGAAAAGAAAAGAAAAGAAACTCAAAATAACATCGTTTTAGATTTTGAACCAATTCGATCCACCGAATTTCGAACTACCAAGATTATTCACATTCTAAATATGTCAATTTTAATCTTGAGCAGTGTGACTATTTTTCCGTCTTTTTAGGCAATTATACTTATTTGCTGACGAGTGACCAAACTTCTTGATAAAAGGTAAATGTAGATTTAAATTGAACACGGCATGTTTGAAGAAGACTTTGGCACAACAATTTCTTGCACACAAATTCAAGCAACTAAATAAATAGTTTATTGGCTTAAAATAAAGGGTTTAAGCTTGGGAGAATTATTTAGGCTTGTAAGTTAAATCACGGCTCCTGTTTCAATAATATATATTATTTATTTTGTTAAATTTTTCATGTATATAATCAATGAAAAAAATTAAATTAAACCAATAATTATAAATATTTTTTTTTATTGTATGTCTTCAAAATTTAGCTCGCCTATTTAAAAAAAAACCAACGGGTGAAGGACTCTCCCTTATGTTCTCATTTCAATTCATTTACAACTATTTAAGTATGTCTAAAATTATCATATTTTAAATTTTTCACACGATCTAATAATTGTAATTTTTTTTTAAATAATATAAATCAATAAACAAAGAGGTCATCTTCAGCCATGGAAACAAGGTCTTGCCAGATGGTAGCTAATTCTTCAACATTATTCGCACATTCAAAAGCATATCCGCTTGCATCAACCATCTCCTAATATCGAAAACGATAGAATAAACAAACAAAAGATGATAAGGGTTTTATGTTTATGAAATAACAAATAGGAAATATGAATGATGCTCTATTTAAGTCTCTTCCTTGACCCAAAGAGGGCAAAAAACAACAATAACAACAACAATAAAGTTGTGACATTGAATATATGCATTTTTGAATGTCAATAATTTACAGTCTAATAAACTTAAATAAATCTTATTGCCAAATGGTATGATCTAAGCTATGTCCACTTCGTCACGATATCGACTTTCCTTAAAATAAGTTTTGTTAAGAGAATAAGAGTGCATTGTGAGCAAGCCCTAAGAAAAGTCAAAAGGGTGTGTAGTATATCAGTTGCTCCTCCCCCATAAGCGAAGGCGAGCGAGTAGAAAAAAAGAAGCCATCCTCATCAACTAGCTAATTGTCAAATTTTATACAAATTGGAGTGCTAATACGAGAAAAGCTACTGCTAACTTTTGTGAATAGATGTATAATAGGCTCATCGAGTAAAAATTCAACATTCTGACACATAATATTATCATTCAATAATAAACTACTACTTAAGATTAATGAACCCTACTATTTAAATATATGATTACCTCCAATACAATCTAATAACCAACACATTTACATAACAAAGTTTACTGTACTCGCATAATAATTCATTATTGAAATTACATGAATGTCACCATTACATTGAATCACTCTCCCTATTCGCCCTCAATTAAACCATTCACTAACCCTTAGTCTCTCAAGTCCGATTATATATCATCTAATTAAGCATCCTATGAAGATCTTATTGCCGAAATTTCGCATCAAAAATCAGTAAGTTCAAATCACAGAGATTAAAGATCATCTCTTTCTTTCATTTCACTTCATTGAATCACAATTGATTTGAATTAATTGATCACATCATGTGGTCTCTCAATTTTTTTGGGTTGTTAGTCTTTTTGCTATTTTTAAAAGACAAGGAAAAAATCAATTGTGATCATCACACAAACCACACTTCTCGAGAGAGGCACCCAAGTCCAACTACCGAACAAATACTGAGTGCAATGGTGACATCATCCTAACCATCCTACATGCTGTCACCGATCAATCAAAAATTATCAAACGACACCCTCTCATCCCTTGGTGGGCTCGAATTTTATGGCACAAGTCGATGATAAATATTAAAAGATACATTCACTCGGTGATTATGTTTAGTCATCTATGCAAAATACAGTGTCTAAAGATAAGCAGTACTCACTCACAGTTATGTTTCAGGAGTTCACTTTTGTTTCATGTTCCTGGTTTCTATCCAAGCTAGGTTGCTGAGGTGCATTACTGCTACAAGTTGGTAAGCCGACATTTCCGGGGGGAAGGATCATAGGATTCGCTGGCACCTGTGGTACAGACATCGGTGTCCCTGTTGCATCAAAATCAGATGAAATATCGCTTTGGAAAAAGTTGGGAAAGGTGAACTCTGGAAGTGCCAAGCAAGAATGTGTCTGAGTACGAGAGGTGTCATCTTCTTGGTGCTCAAAGTAACCCTGTATAGAAAAATTGTCCTCAATGGGTATTGCCCCTGTAAGTGTCTTGAATGCGAATTCTAAGCATGGATCGGACCAAGAATCTGCAAATGGATAGAGGAGCTGTGATTCTAGGTTTTCCTCATCTTTTTTCTCAGTTTCCTGCCTCACCAGTTGGTCTTCTGCAACAGTTTGGTCCTCCAGCGGTTGCTTGGTTCTGTTTGACAGCTCGATATTTGATGGAGCTTCTGTGCAGGTTAAAGCATGGTGTGCGATCTCCATCTCTGAAAGAGTCTCAAACGGCGGAGAGATGACATGAGGCACATTATGAGGGACAGCAGGAGATGGGTTGGCTTCACTTTCACCAGGCTTTCTGGCTGCAACTCTAAGATTGTGTTCACTTAATGCCAAGTTGACTTGCATCTCAGGTTTGGACCCCGCTAGTCGTTTTGAAGACCTACAAGGCAAACTACTTGCTTTTCTCTTCTTGGACTTGCTGGAGTCGATCTTCATTTTTCTGTTCTTATTCTCTCCCATGCAATTCTCTGCCAATTTTGCCTCTTGCAATATCTCAGTAGAGGGAGTGGAAATATTCCCATTTTCACTATCACCTCGATTACCATTAGACCCTTCAGTTCTTGGCAGTGGTGAGCTGCTAGGATGATTAATTTCCTTCATTTCAGCACACCCTACAATCGCATTATCAATTGAATTCTTCACTTCCAAAATCCCAGCAGTAGTAGTCGCTGTAATCATGGCATCAGCTGATACACTCATGCATTGCCTTTTCTGCAAACTTTCAGCATCTGCTGTTTCTAAGTTGCTTGTTGTGACACTGTTTTCCAGACCCTGAATCACAAGGTTATCCTCGATGGGAATTGCCCCTGTAAGAGTCTTAAATGCAAATTCTAGACATGGATCCGACCAAGAATCCCCAAATGGATAGAGGATCTGTGATTCTATATTTTCCTCATCTTTCTTTTCAGTTTCCTGCCTCATTGGTTGGTCTTCTGGAACGTCTTGGACCTCCATAGGCTTGTCACTTCTGGTTGACAGCTCAACATTTAATGGAGGTTCTGTGCCTGTGAAAGCATGTTGTGCAATCTCTGTATCAGAAACAGTCTCAAATGGCTGAGAGCCACTAGGAGCCACATCATCAAGTGCCCTTGGAAATGGTTTGGCTTCACTTACACCAGAATTTCTAGCTGCAGCTCTAAGAACATGTTCGCTTAATGCCAAGTTGACCACCATCTCGGGTTTGTGCCCTGCAAGTCGTTTCGAAGATCTACAAGGCAAACTACGTGCTTCTTTTTTCTTGGAATTGCTGGAGTCAATCTTCATTTTGCTGTTCCTATTCTCTCCCATGCTATTCTCTGCCAAATTATTCTCTCGCACCATCTCATATGAGGGAGTGGAAATAGTCCCATTTTCGGCACAATCCCTCTTGCCTTGTTTACTCTCTTCAGTCCTTGGCAGAGTTGAGCCGCTTGGATCATTATATTCCTTCATTTTAGCACACTCTTCAATCATATTATTAAGCGGATGCCTCACTTCCAGAATCGTAGCTGTAGAAGTAGACATAATTATAGTATCAGTAGATACACTCGTGCATTGCCTTTTCTGCAAGTCCTCAACATATGCTGTTTCTAAATTGCTTGTGACTCTGTTTTCCATACCCTGAATCGCAAAATTATCCTCGATGGGAATTGCCCCTGTAAGAGTCTTAATTGCAAATTCTAGGCATGGATCAGCCCAAGAATCCCCAAATGGATAGAGAAGCTGTGATTCTATATTTTCATCTTTCTTCTCAGTATCCTGCCTCCCTGGTTGGTGTTCTGGAAAAGTTTGGTCCTCTAGAGGCTTCTTGCTCTTTGACAGCTCAACATTTGATTGAGTTTCTTTGCCTGTGACAGCATGATGTGCATTCTGTGTATCTGAAAGAGTCTTGAATGGCAGAGGGGCATTATGAGCCACATTGTCAAGGTCCCCCAGAGAAGGTTTGACTTCACTTTCACCAGACTTTCTGGCTTCAGCTCTAAGAATGTGTTCACTCAATGCCAAGTTGACCTCCATCTCGGGTTTGGACCCAGCAAGTCGTTTCGAAGACCTACAAGGCAAACTACGTGCATCTTTTTTCTTGGATTTGCTGTAGTCAATCTGCACTTTTCTGTTCCTATTCTCTCCCATGCCATTCTCTGACAATTTCTCTTCTCGAACCATCCCAGTTGAGGGAGTGGGAACAGTCCCATTTTCGGCACAAACCCTCTGGCCTCGTTTTCTCTTGGAGCCTTCAGTTCTTGGCAGAGGATCATTACGTACTTTCAATTTAGCACTCCCTTCAATTGCATTATCAACCGAATGCTTTCCTTTCAGAATCTCAGTTGTGGAAGTTGAAGTATTCATAGAATCATCAGATACACTCGTGCATTGCCTTTTCTGTAAGACCTCAGCATTTGTCGTTTCTAAGCTTCTTGCAACACTGTTTTCCAAACTCTGAATCGCCAGATTTTCCTTGCTGAGAATTGACCCTGTAAGAGTCTTAACTACAAAATCTAGTGATGGGTCTGACCAAGAATCCCCGAATGGAGAGAGCAGCTGTGATTCTATATTTTCCTCATCTTTCTTATCAGTTTCCTGCTTCACTGATTGGTTATCTGGAACAATTTGGTCCTCCAGAGGCATCTTGCTTCTGTTTGACAGCTCAACATTTGATGGAAAGCTATGAGACAAATTATCAGGGGGAGATGGTTTGGCTTCACTTTCACCAGACTTTCTAGCTGCAGCTCTAAGAACTTGTTCACTTAATTCCAAGTTGACTGCCACCTCGGGTTTGAGCCCTGCAAGTCGTTTTGAAGACCTAAAACGCGAATTAACTGTTTTGTTCTTGGATTTGCTGTAGTCAATCTGCACTTTTGTGTTCCTATTCTCTCCCATATCATTCTCTGCCAATTTCTCCTCTCGTGCCATCTCAGTCGAGGAAGTCAAAACAGTTCCATTTTCAGCACAAGCCCTCTCACCTCGTTTTCTCTGAGAACCTTCTGACTTTGGCGGTAGTGAGCTGATAGGATCATTACTTTTCTTCATTTCAACATTCTCTTCTGTCGCATTATCAAGTGAATGCTTCCCCACCAGAATCTCAGTTGCAGGAGCTGAAGTAATCGTGGCATCAGCAGATACAATTTATGCTGTGCCTATTTTATTTATTTACCTGAGAAACATGGTGTAATTGTTTTGGCTACTCAATCATGCCTTTGACTTGTTCTGAATTAGACACAGCTAATCACAACCAGAGATACAAGTATATCACTCATCGATCTCTCACCTGAAAATAGTTGTCGTCTGGTTGTATGGTGCCCTAAGTCCTGCATGCTAGGCGCAGATGGAACCTGTTGATCAACAAAAACAGGAAAAGAGAGATATTCTCATGCAGTCAGAACTTCTCATACATCATAATGCCTCAATGATACTAGAAAGCAAAACTGAATTATAAATAGGTGGCAACATACATCTAATAATGGTTCAGTACATGAAAAATCAGGCCATATAAATGAATATTTGGTTCTCAAAAAAAAAAAAAATAAAAAAAAAAAAAAAAAAAAAAAAAAAAAAATGCGATCAAGTTCAGAAAATTGAGGATAAGATGTTGCCCTTGTGGAGGTTAAAACAGTATCAGGTAACAATGGCGCAAGGAGATTAAGTCTTAAATAGGGGAAATTCTCTCATCTTCTGGCCACTTCATATGCAGAAAGCAAGTGTGTTTATAGCTGACCACCATCAGGGAACCCACTAACAGACCTTGTTTTGGTTAAGCATTTTACAACCTAAAAAAATTAATATTACAATGAGAGTCAAAACACATATTCGAAAGTACACACAACCCCAAAGGGCACCCTCTCATCAGCAGAGAAACAGAGATGAAAACAAGTCTAGCCTGACAGAGAAGTTTTGTTGGAGGTGACTATGGGCATACCAAATTTTACAACAATTCTGAATTTCACCAGAAATGCATACATTCACTGACATTGTATTCCTTTAGTTTTAACTAGCACTTCCAGAAATGTGTTACATGATGGAAAACACCAATCACCAGTCATAGTTTTGATTGCAAGTAGTCAAGGTTCTGAAAAGCGGTTGCGGTCGTTGTAACGGTGGCGGTGGCGCGGTTGCGGGGTGTAAAGGCCGTAGCGTAACGGTTGCGGTAACCGGAACCGTGAATTTTTTTATTTTTCGCATAATTTGAAAAAAAACTTACCGATACGCATATTTTTTTCCCATGATCATATTTATTGGGTTAAAAATAAATATTGATCAATTTTTATAAATTTTTAAGTATGATCCAATATATTTCATATTTTTAAATCACTGTAAACTCAGTTTTTTACATTTTATTTTAATAATTAATGACTTTATATTATACAAAAAATCAATCACTAACTATTATATATAAGATAAACAATGACAAAAGTAAGATAATAAATAAGAGTCTAAATATATATATATATATATGTACATATTTTAACAAAGCCAAATAGATAATGACCACACTTATTATTATTATTATTATTATTATTATTATTGTTATTATTTTCAAACAATATATAGATAGACACGCATAAACAAAATGATTGAGTAATAGCAGCTAGATAGAATAGCATAGGTCTTACAGCTTCAACAAATCAATAACATGTTCTTCATTTTCCCTCCTCTCTCTCTCTATCTCTTGCTCCTCTATTTTCTCTCTTTATCTTCCCTCTTCTCTCTATCCCTCTTCCTCCATTTTCAGCTTTTTTTTGTGTGTTTTTTCAAAAGAAACAGTTTGAAACCGTTACGTAACGGGGCGTAACAGGCCGTTACGGCTATTACGGCGCCGTTACGGCAATTACGGCACCGTTACGACCACTATGGCAGCCGCTACGGCTGACACACTTGTGAATCTCAATCACACTACAAAAGCGGCCGTAACGGGTGGCGGTAACCTCCAAAACCGTTACATAACGGCGTTACGTAACGGTTGCGGCCGCTTTTTAAAACCTTGCAAGTAGTACATGTGAGAAATCAAGACTAAAAGCTGAAAAGAATCAACAAATATAGAGCAATGACAAAAAAAAAACTATTAACTGAAGTACCAAGCAAGATGTACACTTACAGAAGTCTCTTCATTTAAAAATTCCAGCTCGCCCCTCTTCTTTGGTTTGATAGCACACCTATTTAAGTCTCCAGTTTCCAGATAGCGCAAAGCATCTTTCACGGAGAGGAATGCATATCCACTTACAGGATCCGTGTAATACTGTAGTAATTAGATCACCAACAAGATTCACTTATAGTTTCAAATTTTGGAAGGACTGAGTATAGAACTCAAAAATGCCAATTAATTGCAAATACAACCAAATAAAGTTTTGTGAAGATGCATTATCTATAACAACACGTTGTGCATGTATGGAGGAAGGGAGGGATGGAGAGAGGAAACAAGCAATACTAAAATAAAACTGGATCAAAGTATGGAAGAAGAAATTTGTTACCGAGTCTTTTCTGATCCCATTTCCCTTCTTTTCAATTTTGATTTCTTTTATCCACCCTGGAGGTAGCCCATCAGGTGCAACTCTCTCAATCACAACCTGGATATCACTTGAAGAGTCAGAGTTAGATATCTAACTAAGCAAACTAAATAATATGCAATCTATCAAAATTATCTTGGGTGTATGGAGCCAACCTTTTTTACAGACTGTTTGCTAGAAACTATTTGCTTTTGTTCAGATGCTAAACTCGTACCCTTCAGAGTTTTCATTTGAGACTCCTCTAGTGTCAGAGAGGTTTTGCCTCCAGTTAATTCATCCATGTTAGGCTGTAAGGAAAGCACATTTAATAGAAATTTTGATAAATGTGTTAACCCCATTTCATAGAAATTATGAATTTCCTCAAACATTATGAAGCATTAATTCCATAATTGTCAAAATCAAGGGCCGATTTTCTCAGTTAGCTACTTTATTAGTAATTTCTAGTATATATAAACACAAGACGGTAGATTTCGTAAAGGTAATACCAAAATATGCTTTCTTTTTACCCATTGCATGCAAATATAAAAAAAGCGTTTGGTGAATTGGACTGATCTTGCTAATTATTAAAACTTGAGTGTTTAATCTAACACCCTATGAAGCAGGGTTACTCCAAAAATGTTGCCGTATTCGTACCGGGTACTAGTACTCGTACCGATATGGTTGCATGCGTACCGAGTACTCAAAATACATATCGGGTACTTTTTATACATTCTTTAACAATTGGGTACTCCTTGAGTACTTCATAGGTACATCGGGAGTACACCAAGCTATGGGACATTGGTGGGGATACGTTTAATTTATTAGAAAGTTCTTATTTACTTGAAATTGCAAATCCTTTATTTGATGCGCTAGATATGAAAAATATATTATTCAATGATGAAATTGATGGAAGTGAAAACTAAAGTTTTAAGATTTTAAACTTTATTTTGTAATTTTTACTATTTAATGGCATGAAGTATTGGTTTGATAAACATTTTGGGCTAAATAATCACAAAATGACCAAAAAAAACTACAAAATCATAAAATGTCAAAACACTTGAGTTGGGATGCAAAATTCCCAAACTGACCCATATACAAACAAGAAGTCAAAAAAGCATCATTTCCAAGTGGAGGGCAATTTTGTCATTTCAATGCAAAAAAGCCAAACAAGAAAACCAAACAAACAAAAAAGTCTCAGGCTAAAAAAGTCAAAAAAACCAAAAAGCCAACTAAAAAAGTCATTGCCAAACGAACCCTAAAATAGTTTATAGACTTTGCTTTGGTATTATTATTGTTGAATTATCATTTCTTTTTTGGTATTGTAATTTCTCCTTTTAATTTTGGTATTGAACTTTGATTTGTAGAATGGATCTCAAAGTATACGTTATAAAAATAAAAAATTTATTGACGTATCCCAGCCGTACTCGTATCCTATTTTTTTTTAGGTCTTGTGTATTGGCGTACCCGTATCGTACCCATACGGGCATCCGTACCCGCACCCGTGTTTCATAACACCTCGTAATATCACTTAGCAGTACATGATTTTCTTAGAATCGAGATTGGACCTGATAAATAAATATTAACTCGCTATTAAAATTGAATATTTGATATGTAATACAAATATAATGCTATAAATCCACATATGCATGATGTCAAAAAACTATAACTTGAAGATATTGTGAACAAACATTGTTAACAGGGCCAATTTCCATTTTCTTTTGTTGGGATGTGCGGCTGTTACGCTTTGCAGTTCTGAGATATTCAGACACCTCTGGCTTTGAATAGAATTTGGATCCAGTCAGTGGATCAATATAGCACTGCAATAAACTAGAAATAATAAGAAAATCAAGAATTTTTTTTCAATACCAATGCAAGGTGTATCAAAGATGCCTCTTGCCAAATAACATGTAAATTTGCATTAAAAGGACAACAATTATTTTTCCACAACATCCCTCAAGATTTTGCAAAGTACACACATCTATGTTACGTATCATATATCATGCATGCCTCTTGTTAAATAACATGTAAATTTTCACTTGTTATTCCATTTGATACCCATATGCAGAGTACAAACATAAGTAGTACATCACAACAATGTAGTTCACCATTATAAATTGTTGGTCGACCTGAAAGCCTTTGGCTCATTATCTTTATAGATGTTTCAAGTTGATTAGATCACATAAGTATAAGAAATGGACATACCTAACCAGGACCAGTAAGACATGAAACATAAACAAGAATAAAACAAGAAACGAAATCAAGCACACAAGAATTAAGTATTGTATGTGCTGCCTTTATGTGTGTTCCCTTCAGTGTACAAACAAAGCAGCTCACCACATGAACAACATAAGGGGTATAACTATATAAGGGAAATTATGAGAAAAATAAATAAGTCTCCTCACAAGTTTTGGTAAATCACAATATCAAAAATCAAGCACTATAGTCATCCTCCTCAAACCGTGAAACGTTCAATGAAAGAATTCTTGGTGAAACACCCACTTAAGGGATAATTTTCAATGTTCTTAAAAAGCCTAAAACACTCATTCATAGCTAAAGAAAACTACTTTTTAACGTAAGAAGCATTGTAACTTTCACCAATATGAATTTACAGTTGTCAACCCAAAATGCACACTCGCACATTTTATGCCCATGTCAATGTGAAGGTAGCATACTACTATGCCAGAGCGCATTGGAAGTTGCAGGTACAACACACAAATATAACCGTCTGCATCCTCTATTTCCAAATCAGTAACCATTGTAGATTTCAAATTCTCCAAAAAAAGCAACCCAATATTAACTAAATTAATGTATTAAAAACCAAAGAAAAATAGAAAATGGCAACAAAACATGGAGACAAGTATCAAAAACATTACAAGATTTGTTTCTTGAGGTACCTTGTATGTTCTACCAATCCGTGGACCTCTGTTTCGAGTTTTCAACTCCATGATCCACCCAGGAGGTAACCATTCAGGAATTTCATTTGTTTCCGTTGCCAGCTGCCAACAGTGGATATAACCAAGCAAATAAAACGCAGAAATATATGTGGGAGAAAGAATCAAAGCAATAAACAATGTTCAGATTTCAAACTTACAGGCATTGGTTTGCTTTTCGAACACCTATTGTTATGCTTACTTTTTTGTTGAAGTTGGCCACGGCAAGGATTTCCCGTCTCCAAATAGCGAATGATTTCTTGTTTAGAATAAAACTTTTTTCCAGTTTCCATGTTTGAGTAGTACTACAAGACCAAATACCGAATACAATAACTTCCAGTTCAGAAATATACAGTAGTAGCAAACCATCCATGTAAGTGCAACAAGATTTATATAAGATTTCCAAATCTTTTTAAGCAATCCATTACATGTTAGTACTGAACAGCAAAAACGAATGCACAATAGAATCAATATCACAGGTTGCGACGCAATTGGGGGAGAAAATGTAAAAAAATAAATCAGAGGGTGAGAAAAGAAAAGAGATGATTGTGTTTTCTCACTATCATGTTTGGATGGGTGGAAAAGTAAAGCATGTGAGAAAGGAATATGAGTGAGATTTCTTTTTCTTCCTTTGTATTTTAAAGGGTAATCTCGGTATTATAAATATTTTACAACCAACCAACTTGTTTCTCATTTTTGGTTGAGAAATGAAATAGGAGAATCCTCTTTCTCACCATTTTTCACTTAACTCATATACTAAAGATGAGAAAAGAGTTCACTTTCTCATCCTTTCTCACCAAATCACTCCATCCAAACGGAGTCCAAACGGAGTGTAATCCATGTTATATCATTCTGGTTTAACATACAATAATCCAAAATTTTCATAAAAAAAGAACCCAAATTTCTTCAATTATACATTGCATTAACTAAATCAATCTTGTATTTATGTGTTTCTGAACTCAAATCCATACATTTCCCTAGCATGCAGCTCGTGTCCACTACTTCAATCACCACACACCACTTTAAACAAACAAACAAACAAATCAACTTAATTCACAATATTCAGATCAATCTAGTCAAATCCTCAACCACCAATCGCAATAACTTCAATTTATGCAATTTCAACTAAAAACCCTAAAAGTTCGATAAGTACGAATACCTTGAGCTTTCGGCCGTTCTTGACTTCGACATGCTCGGTCCAGCCGGGGGGAAGACAGTCCATCGACTTTCCGGCCACCATTTTGCCGGAATCTGACGGCTCCGGCGGCGAAGAACCGGAAAAGGTGACACCTTTTTCGACTAACAGCCCTATCTGATCTCAATTTGTATATAGAAACACGTGTATGTATGGATCGTTTGCTCTCTCTGACACGAATTTGTGAGATTGTAGTTGGAAAATGGAAGTGGATCGTTGAAAAATTTGGGGATTTATTTTTTCACGTTGGGAACATGGAGGGTTTCGATGAAATTAGGAGAGAGTATAAGAAAAGAACACGTGTTTTCTACTTGCAATTTGCCGAGTGAAATGCCCATACATACATAAGCATAGGGGTAGATTCTCTTTGTTGCCCTCCTTTATTCTTTGTGCAAAATTAGTGATAGTGCCCTGTTTGGTTTAGTCCAAAAATTTGATGACTCCCATGTAAATAAATTATGTTTATTTTAGAATAATGTTATGAGATTGGAAAGTAAGGAGTGGGTGTTTTAATTGAAAATGAGAAGGGTATGATGTTAACTTATTTTGTATAAAAATTATATGCGTAAATTTGTTATTTGTATATCATCTATGAGATTGTGAATTCTCACCAAGAACATTTATTGGGTTTTATAATCTAGTCTTATGAGATTATAAATCAAGGGGTTTGATGGCAGGAAATTATCTTAGCTATTATACTTAAGTTATTAGGTTTAATTCTTTTTAAGATCAGTTATTTGGGCGACGGTACATAAAGTTGGTAAAATGAATCTTCTAAGTCCGAGTGAATTGTACCTAATTTAAAAAATGTAGATTCGATTTCCCGTCTATAGAGCTGCAAATAAATAGAGCTATTCGTAAATAGGTGCGAGCTTGACTCAATAAAAGTTCGTTCAAATTCGGTTCGTTAATTTTTTTTTTGCGTTCGATCTTCAACTTGTTAAATTTTTTAATAAATAAATCCAAATATTCTAAAATTTTGCTCGTTTAGTATTTATTATATATATATTAAATAATGTAAAAATATGTATAAAAAATAAGATAAATATGTTATTTATATATTTAAAAAATATAAATGTAAATAATAGTTAATTATAGATAGTATATTTATATAATAGTGGTAGTAGATATTATTATTTTAGTAAAATATTGACTTTTTTTTTTTAGAATATTATATATAATTGTACAATCAAAATTGTAATTATAATTTTAGTATCATACGCAAGTATGAATTTATAAATTTTTTGGCTCATTAAAACTCGTTAATATGTTTGAACTCGAGTCAAGTCTAAGCCACCTTAGCTCAAACTTGGTTCATTAAATTTTATTGAGCTCGATCTTAAACTCGAGTTCGTTAAAATCTTAATAAATAAGTTCAAATATACTACAACTCGATTCGTTTACAACCTTACACTTATATGCCGGTTCACGATTTATTGTTACATGATTAAATGGCCATGTTATGTGGCATCCAAAATGTTATTTGAAGCTTTGGTTCAGTAGTTAAGGTCCAACCCATAAATCACCTCTCTATGATTAGGCCCATGAGATTAGAGATGAAAACACCATCATACACATACAAAAATAAGAAAATTAACATTTATTATATTGAGAATTTTACATAAATTTAAGTATTTAATCCTTGCTGAATTATTGCTAAAAAATGTAAGTGTTATATCAATTATAATATTATGAAAATTTTAGTGTGTTTAATTTCAATTTTCTGAATTTAATTTTTTAAAAATTAATTTTTTTATTTTTTGTGTCTTTTTGATTTTAATGAATATTTTTATAATTTTAAGTAATTTTTTTTACTTTTTTAAATGTACTTTACTTAGATGTATCTAAAGAGTAAAATATTTTAAAAATCAATAAATACACCAAAATACAAAAAAATATTGAATTATCATATTTTTTTTGTATTTTTGGTATTTAATGAATTTTCTAAAGTTTTTTTCACAAATACTATACTTTTTAAGTGTATTTATATTAGGTGTATTTAAAAAATTTTAAAAATTACTTAGAATATTAAAAAAATTCAGTAAAAATAAAAAAATACAGAAAATAAAAAAAAATTAATTTTCTAAAAAATGTATCTTGAAAATCTAAATCAAACAAACTGAATATAAATTTATATTAAAATTGTGAGGGACTTGTATTTCTTTCAAATCTCTTGGGAGATTAGTGTAATTATGAAATTTTAATTTGCAACAAACTAAATCAAGCAGCCCTATATACAAGGAAAATTATACATATGTCCCATCTGGATTTGAGCCCCTCTCTCATCTTTCTTCATTCTTGAAGGACTTAGAGAGAGTAGGAACCCAAATCTATTGGGCAAGGTTTGTTTGTGCTCCTTTTTTTTTTTAGTTCTGTTTTCCATATATGGTTCAAGTGTTTATTGCGTGTATATATATCATGCTCTTGATGGATTATGTTTTGCCTAAAATCGATTTGATCGTAATTACGCCGAGGGTTTGGTTTGTGATCAATTGGGCTTTGTCAAAAAATTCAGAAATTTGTTTGGATACTCGGAATTCAGAGAGAACATGTATGGAATTTTCGATCGGTATTGTATGCTCTGCATTTTGATTGAGAATTACTGATTTCTATATGTGATTGCTACTTGTTTTGGGTTAATTTTGCTGTGATGTTCTCAAATCAATTGCTTCTTTTTATTCAGACAATTGTGCTATTTTCCAATTGTTTCAATGGAAAGTATTTAGGGCTCAAGATGATTAATTTTTTTTTTTTTTTTTTGGTTTCAACAGCAAGAATTTATCAAACCCTAAAAAAAAATCAAATGGGTGACATTACAGACTCACACCTGCAACTGATAATAAGTTACTGGATCTATAGCCAATAACTCGGCAACTTATGATACCCAGTTGATACAAGAGCAAGTGAATGTAAAAGAACACAAAAAGTAAATGTAAAAGAACAAGCCTTCCAATCTATTATTGTTGATAGATTGGAGGAAGAAATGAAGAAATCAAGGCTGTTTCATTGTGGTGTATGATGGGAACTACATGGGGCAAGATGGTTTGTTGAAACATATATGCAAGCTAGTGGTACATACTTATAATGTTATATTGTGAATTTAAGGGTTTGATCCCTCTCCATTTGGTGGCTTTTATGAGTTGTGACTTTAACTTATCTCTTACACTTGGATGAAGTTAGTTTAAAGAGTCTTTAGCTGTTCATGGTTTACAAGTCAGTTGGATTTTGCATTAGACACATAATCATAGATCACATTTGTAATCTAAGCTACAATTTGGTTGTCATTTTAGATGTACTTGCGTAGTTTTGAGAGCAAAAAATAAAAAAATTTCTTTTTCCCAGATTAAAAATTATTATTTTTAAAGTGCTGTAGATGTCCCTTCTTACAAGATGAAAAAAAGTTTTAGTATTATATTGAGCATGCCTGTTTCTGTCTTTCTTAGCTTCTTCTAAAATTCTGTCACCAAAGTTTTCCTTTAGTATTCTCTCCTCCATAAGCCTCATGCTTTAGTAACTGCACATCATGATCATGGGTATAATGTGAATATTTTGTAGATTCGAATGGAATTTATGCTGTGCCTATTTTATTTATTTATTTATTTTTGTGGAAAACAAATAGTGGAGAGATTTATTTATGGAAACAATGATGCTGCATACACTGGGATTGAAATTACTGGATGTTAGAAATTTTTCATCAAATGAGCTGTATGTATGTTTTATTTAGCCTATTTCTGGGGATAGCACCCTAAAAATTAAAGCAAAAGCTTCCAGTTACAAATTTTTTGAGGAAGTGAAGAACCGTGGCCATTGGCAGATAGCAATTAAGAATCATCATACATACTAGTATTAGCAATGCATCCTTCCAGTATGGTTTTATGTGGTTTATTTAGAATGATGTTGCCATGGAACCATACTTGCTGCAAATACAAATGCATCTGCAATTATGTTGTATGTAATATCTATGACATTAATGTTCATTCCTTCTTAGTGATTCATATGTAGACATGATTATTCTATTTTTATAGTCATGAGGGGAGACTGAGTATTACCAATGCCCACATTTCTCATCGGGGACTTGGAAACTTTTTGTTTTTTGGTTGCCATTTTAAGTTATTGAGGTTTGATATCAAATAAACATTGTTTTGTTCAGATGGCATCATTGCATGAAAGTTTAAATAAATTTAAGAAGCAGCAGGAGAAGTGCCAGTCTACCCTTTCAAGCATTGCAGCCAAAGCAGGATCTTCTAAGGCAACAACGAATCACAGGGCTGCATCTGCAGGCACATCTTCTTCAACCAATACAAAACCACCAGCCCCAGCAGTCAAATTTTCAAATGATACAGAGAGACTTCAACACATTAATAGCATACGTAAAGGCCCTGTAGGAGCTCAGATTAAACGTGTTATAGACTTACTGTTTGAGGTACAAACCCAACCTTCCCTTTCTTGCTTTTCCTTTCCTTTATTGGATAATTTTATTTTCTCGAGAGCAAATCACTGTTTAATTTTTATAGTCTTTCCATAATCTCAACGGCTAATGACATTGGACTATTAGTCATGCATGGTTTACTGCCATTAAGAGTGTGCATGAAACATTATGTCTCGTGGGTCATGGCTACTGAGCTAGTCCGGTTCTCTGGAAATGAGCAAAGGAGACAATTTATATTATGCAGAAGATGTAGATGAAAATCTCTTATCTTGTGACCCAAAATGAAATATCACTTCTTACTTCTTAGCAATTAAGCACACTAGAAGAACATTTCTATCTTGCTCTTTGGAAGTAAGATGAACATAAGGGGCTTGGTTTACTTGTACTATTGTTCAATAATATTGTACTATTAAAAATAGCATATGCACTGAATGTTGAAACATTAGAGTTATTAATCTAAGTTGAATGAGAATTTTCTTGTGAGTTGAAGTTATTGGCTGTTACTTAGTAGAGGTCTCACCTTGTTTTGCTTAATTGTTATCACCACCATTAATCCATGTGCATGCCCAGACATGGTCCATTGTTTTATGTTATAGGTAGGAATTTATGTGGGGATGAGGGCCAATTGTTCTTATTGAAGTGCATTTCTCGGTCAGCTTTTATTTCAGAGGCAAATACTAATCATTTTTGCCTACTTCCAAGTTAATTAAGATTTTAAATATGTAGTGTCATTTTAAGGCATGTTATGTATATAGCATAATAATTATCATCCCATATGCTCAGTGAATCATAATCAGTGAATCATAACACCAAATATCTATATTTTTTTAAATACTTAAATATTTTTGACATCTATTGGTTTTGACACCTTCTGTAGAATTTTTTTTTTTTTTCTTTTTTTTCTGCCTCATTATCTAATTGCATTGAAATCTATTAATTGTGCAGTGTTTGCAGTCTTGGCTTCTTTTACCTTTGGGTAATTTTGCATACTAGGTATTTTACAGTGTTCCACACGCATGCTTAAGCTTCTCACACGTGGTTATGTAATGCATTCTATTTTTAAAATGTTGACTTACATATGATCGAAACTCATCAAAATTTTCTGCAAAATAAATTAATGGAAGTCCATCAGCCTTTATTTGTTTATCTTGATCTTGGTTTAAAGATGTTTTTGCTTTCAGTTCAATAACTTCAGCCTGCATCACTTCAACATCATTTCAAAGTCTGGATATCTCTTCTTTTCCCTTTTGTACGTGCTCTTTCATACCACTTCTTATGAGCATTCTGCCTCTTTGTGAGAACATTCACGGACACGTTGTAACTAAATCTATCACGGGGGAATGGATAAGTAGAAAGTGCTTGAAAATATCGATTTTATACAAGTTCTTTGCTGAGAAGTCGAAAATTTCTATATTTACCTTTGATGTTTTGGACATGTTAGATGAAAACTATCAGTTTCATCAATAAGGAGGCAAAGTGCTTAGTCACATAACATAACAGTTGTTAGCAATGATATTGGCTAAGAGGAAACTGGTTATGGTTCCCGACACTGACAAGTCTGACACAACTTGTTACACCGATTTCTCTGGGGCTCTTTACATATTGAACATTATTTATCTCTCGAGATTTTTCATCCAGCTGGGGGTTGGATAATGTGAGATTTCTTTGGGTAGATCTACAGTGTTCAAATATAGAGGTTATGTTATAGACTTAGCAAAAAAATATAGAGGTTGTAGAAGTTTTATAGTTCCTCCAATACTTCTTATGCTGTGAGCCTTGAACTTATTCATGCTGCTGATACTTGCTGCACAACCCACCTACCCCTGCAGGATGCCAGTGTGCGAGGCAGGGGCATGTGGGAAGTCATTGGTTGATTTGTCCTCTCATTTTTTGTAGGCTCACTTGAAAGGGATTAATTACACCTTAATTATTTATGTTTCTTGTTCTGCAGACAAGGCAAGCCTTTACACCAGAGCAAATAAATGAAGCATGTTATGTTGACATTAATTCCAACAAGGCTGTCTTTGACAGTTTGAGAAATAACCCAAAAGTGAACTATGATGGGAGGTGCTTCGCTTACAAGGTAAATCCTAATCTTTTCACCTGGAACCCTGGCAGACAATTGAACTTCTCTGTCTTCCCCAAGAGTTCATAGATTGTTACAGGTGCCTGCCCAAAAAGCTTCGAAAAAAAGTTGTCTGTGTGCTGAGAATTTACTTGGTCTTTATTTGATTACAGTCCAAACATGCTCTGAAGGACAAGAATCAACTACTCATCCTAATACGTAAATTTCCAGAGGGCATTGCTGTTATTGATCTCAAGGATGCATACCCAACTGTCATGGAGGATCTACAGGTTTGTGTTACCACCTAAAATAATAGCCAAATACAATCATGGACTTTGCATTATAACCTTTAATTTTCGTTTTTCTTGGAGTTTTAGAGCAAAATTTGTATTTGTTTCATAGGCTTTGAAAGCTGCTGGTCAAATCTGGCTGTTGTCGAACTTCGACTCGCAAGAGGACATAGCCTATCCAAATGACCCTCGAGTGCCAATCAAGGTTGATGATGACCTGAAACTGCTATTCCGGGGAATTGAACTACCACGTGATATGATTGACATTGAGAAGGATCTTCAAAAGAACGGGATGAAGCCCGCCACAAACACTGCCAAGAGGAGGGCCATGGCTCAGGTTCACGGCATTGGTTCCAAGTCCAAGACCAAGAAGAAGAAGAATGAAATCAGCAAGAGGACTAAACTGACCAATTCCCACCTTCCAGAGCTATTCAAGAAACTTAGTGCTCCTGATTCTTGATGGTGGATCAAGCTGTTTGGGACTCACCATGACGCATATGTAATCTTGTTTGGCCAGGATGCTTTTTTGCACAAATGGCCCGGGGTTTTCTAGATTTGTGCTTGATGTAGATAGAAAGCATCATAGCACTTCAGATTGAACCCTCTTCATCCACATGAAGATAGGGTTATTCTTATATTTCTCTACTATATTAAAGAGCTCTTCAGAATGGGTAGAGTCTGTAGCCGGGCTCCTTATTGTGGGTGTGATAGTGATTTCAGTTGCTAGAAATCATGCAATTTAAGGTGTGGAGTATGTGATCAAATTTTCTATTTTGTTGTTGAGACCTGTGACATATTAAAGCCACAATTCTAACGTCATTTATTTGGATAACTGGCTTTGCTCTGACTAATCCCCGAGGCTTTGTATTTAAGATTCTTTGTGACTTCATTGTATTAATTTCAGGCTATTCCTAAATAAATTGAGTCATTTTGCATATGCTTATTATATGTGGTTGGGATTAAGTTCTTCATGGCTAAGCCGTAAAGCCTTTGTATTACGGCACCCAATCCTGTTTTGCCACGTTTATCATTTTGGTCTAATATTCTCGTATGATCTCAAGCTGTCAAGCACTGGATACATACCCTTCAATTTTCCCATCCCTCATTCTTCCTCTCCGTGTCCAGCATGTTTGAAGACGCAAGATGAATACATAAGTCTAACGAACTGTTATTGGTTCACATCACAAGATGTAACCAATTGTTAACTTACAATCATTAAATAAACTTCAGATCAACTGTGAAGATTAGTTTTGGAATTTATACAATATTTTTTCTACACTATACCCTTCTAGTGGTCACTGGCACTCAGCAGACCTACCACCGGCATCTACCTTGACCCCCTTCCTATATCCCTCACCAAACCCTTCATATTTCTACATCCTTTAGGAAGTTGAATCTGTTAGATCTAAGTTCCTTGTGTTTTTGAGTTACAACTGGTTGAAAAAAAAAAAATTGGTGACGTGTCAGGCAAGCAGTGGCACTCCGTAAAACCACTCCTTTACGGGTAGACTGTGTATACTCTTATGTGGTTAGGTCAGGTGTATAACTTATTTTCATATTTACTGCCCTTGTGAAATTGACAAAGGAAAAGAGAGGACAATAAAAAAAGAACATACGCTCTCTAAGGTCATTGCCTGGTAGGACTGCAGGTTTCTTTGAACTTTCTTTTCTTAAATCCTCAGTTAATCTAAGATTTCTGTGCAACTTTTCAAAAGTTGGCTTGACATTTGTTGTTGTTCTTGTCGAAACTGATCAACAATTCCCCAAAGTTTCTTTAGAATACAAGAAACTACATATGAACTTAAACGGGAATTTTGAAAATATTGTGAAGGCTTAACCAAAACCAGTTATTGGAATTTTTTCTTTTTTTTTGAATTAAAACCATTTTTTTCAATCTTATCAGTAGTTCTATCTTTTTTCTTCAGGAAGAGATTATTAATGATTGGCGTCTGAAATAGCTTTGAATTTTTGAAAGTTGCTTTTTCATTCATTTAATAGATTTCCATGACTTATGAGTGTATGTCTTCTAGCTCCTTTTACGCTAAAGGTAACAAACATACTATACATTACATTATATATATATTTTTGGATGGAAATACAAGAATCTTATATTCTGCATGAATTGATGGCATTGGTTTTGAAAAGGGCAATCCTGCTCTGGGCAGGTCTGCTTTTGTGAGACAATCAGGGCAGGTAAAGCAACAACAATTTTAACAAAATCTTTTTCCCTTCATGTTTTCTTTCTTTATTTAAAACCATTATATATACAATTATTTATTTATTTATTTATTTATTTCAGTGGAATTGCTTTTCCATCTTTTTCTATAGTGGGTATAAACCAAAAAATGTAAATGTAAATGTTTATGTCACCTTGTGTCATTAGGTAGTCGATATTTAGGGATTGTTTGAGATGTTTTAAATAAGTGTATTTTTTGATTTTTTACGAAATATGAGTTGGGTTTAAAGTGATATTGTAGAGGGGTGATGTGACTTAAATAAGATGATGTGTCTTAAATATGACGGTGACTATTTGACTTTTTAACTTTTTTAAGAAATACCAAACCTAACCTTAGTTTGGAGTTAGAGGTTGATAGTTAGACTGATTCTTTTTTTGTTTTTTTAATCGGACTAAATGACATAATAGTCAAATTGGCCAGATGGTTCGCCAAGTCAACAAAAGGATCATATGAAAGGTTGTTTTTCTTTTGTTTATTTAGTCAATTGCCCATGTTGTTATGTTAGATCTTGTGGGAAAGCAACATGGTTTTTTAACTTTTGAATGATTCAAAACATTCTAATAATAAATCTCATACTAAGTTAAGTCGTCTCCACCCTCACCCCCTCCTCACTACGCGTTCGGATACATATTAAAAAATTAAAAATGAATTGATTCATTGGATCAAAGCTAATTTTTTGGAATATGGTTTGCAACAAACCATTGAGGTGATCTCTCTTGCTGATCTGTCTGCATTTATGCTACTGCACTTGTCAGACCGACTTGCCAGCCTTAATTCTTCCATATTTTCCTATTGAGGCACTGAAAGTTGAGTAAAAAGATTAAAGTTGTTTATGCATTTTGGTATTGCTTGCATGCGTACATTTCAAGTCCTCATGCCCCCTTTTGAATTGCTATCTTCCTATTAGGTCATTGAAAGGAAATAGAGGAATTCTATACACCCAGAAAGAGAAGAAAAAAAAAAAAAAACTAGCTAGAAACATATGCAGTGAGTCCCACCTTTATTTGGTTTTATTCCAATGTATGAGGGAGAATTTTCTGAAGATTTTCTATATACCAAAAAAGTATATAGAATAAATCAATGAAATCATGAGGAATCCCAGATACCTAATGAGGATAAGTGATACAAAACACAGAAAAGAACAAATGCATAAGAAAGATAAATCACTTGCACATAAAAAGAATACAAGATTTACATTATTCATCTCAAATTAGGGTTACTTCTACAACTACTACGATTTTTATTATGATCAAAAAATTTATAAAAGATTACAGAGATAGCAGCCTCTCACAATAAATACATTGAAAATTAAGACAACGGATTACAAGTGTGAAAACATCGAAATACCCTTACTTTAAAATTCAGATAAGGATCAAGCCTACCGAATCCCCTCCCACAATCAAGTAATTAATGTCTATCACTACTTATCAAAGTCCAAACAACCAACAGTAATAATGGTTTGTGCAAAATAATCATTATTTGTTTTCTTGTTTGTGCATTTTGGTAATGCTTGCATGGGTACATTTCAAGTCTGTCTTTCAAGAAAGTTACATCTGGGGAATCCTTCCAAAATGCATTGTCGACTGCTCTCAGGGATAGAAAAACTAAGCCTATATGCTACCATTAGTACACTGTTTCTATATATTTTGCAACTTTTTTGAAGTTAACAGAAATAAATAGCCAAAATTATGCCCCCACCATTCAGCCTAGTAGCATCAAAATAATAGACTACTGTATTATTATTTTTTTTTAAATTTAATTTGCTTTATTATACTACTTTGCGATCCACTACATTTCTTTACGTGTTTACCTTTTAGTCGGTGTCTAAACCCAATTTGATTGGTCATTGGTTGTACTTCAATGCCATTTTTTTTTTTTTTTGATGCTTTTTTTTTGGGGGGCAAAAACTCCCTGATTTTCATAAACTTCTGACCTTTTTGTTCTGACTTTTTTGTTTTGTATTTTAGGAAGATAGTTAAAAATTAAATTTTTTTTTTTTTTTTTTTAAATTTTTTTTTTTTTTTTTTTTGACTGTTTTAGTTTTTTTTTAGTATTTTATGTAAGAAAGTGATATAACTCAAAATGGATTAAAAGTTAATTTTTGATTTTTAATCAACGTTCCCAAATGACTGGGGTCTTTTGGGAAGTTGCCAAAAAAATCAACTTTTTAACTTTTTTTAAGTAAAACAGTCATATTTTTTATCCAAAACAACCCAACTTTTTGTTAAAAAAGTTAAAAAAACTAAAAAGTCAGTTTTTTACTAACTTTTAAAACACCACTTAGGCCTCGTTTAGGAACAGACTAATTTAGTAATTTTTTGGCTATTTGACTAAAATATGAGCTAAAAAAAATTAGTATGTTTGGGATGACTTTTTGATTTTTTACGAAAAGATGTACAAAAAGTATAGAAAAAATAGAATCTTTGATTTTTTGGTATGAATTGTTAGTTTTTTGACTAATTTAATAATTTTTTGACTTTTTAGCTAAAAAGTTCAGTTGCCAAAGGAATCCTTAGTGCAAAATTTTACTATTCATCTTCATCCAATCATATGGCCAAATTTTTTTTTTTTTAAATGTGGGAATCTTTAACCACCTGATTCTCTGAACGTGATCGGAAAGAGAAACTCCGGCGACATAGATAATTAACTTCTTGTTTTCAGACAACTGAGTGTATAAATATATATATATATATATTACTCTTAATTATTCAATCTAAGTACAATTATAATTTTTCAACTCACTAAAAACTGATATTCTATTTCAGCTGTGTATCAATTATACATCCTTTTAACTAACAAAGAGAGAGAGAAAAAAAATATTTATAAAAAAAGAAAAAGAAAAAAGAACAAGAAAAAGAAAGAGAAAGAAAGAACAATAGCAAAATTTACACTATAATCTGCAAAACTCAGTATGACTAGAACTGATCATATAATCTTGAAGAAGCTTAATTTAATTGTGAAGTGGGTTGGGTCCCCCTGGAACGGTTCGGTGCGACACTTGGTAAACTGGGTCAGCTTCATTATTTCTTGATTCCTCAGGAGCTTCTGCAGAGAAATGCTGCGAAAACTTAAAATTGAATTTGTCTGTGGATGATTCTTCAGTGGTGATTCTGTGGATGTGGCGGCCATTTGAAATCTGGCTGATCGCAAGCATCATCACGATCAGAATAGGAACGCCGGGATGTTGAATTCGCATATCGCTCTGTTTGGTTTCGTTTTCAGAACCTGTTTTATGAGGAAGAAAAAAAAAATACTAAAAACTAGTTTTCTGCTGAGAATAGAAGCAGAGAAAGCAGTTTCATTTGAGTTTGTTTTGTTGGGGGAGTGCTTATATGGGTACCCAAGTAAGCTGTGGTCAGGATGGGAGCCAAAAGTCTCGGGTCTTGGTGCAGTGAAATGACCGAAACGTCCTTTTGTTTTTGTGAAATTTGCAGCAATGTCGGCATTTTGGCTACCTAAAATGCCCAAACTTATATCTATGTCAATTATTTGGTAGTGATTTTTAGCTTTATGTGGTGTGTACCTAATTTATCTTTGCAATTGTTCTGTTGGTTTTGATCATTGGTATGCAGGTCATTTCTTGAGGTTCATAGATTAGGGGTGCTCGCGATTCGGTTGCGGTTAGGGAACCATCAATCCGCCATCCGTCCACCGAATTGACAGATTGCAAAAAAATCAA